GCCCGCTCCCGCGGGCCGGGCGGCTGGCGAGCGACGGCGGAGGGTGGCAGAGCTCTGTAAAACGCCACGGTGCAAACAGCACACGTATATAATTCATAGCGAGTAAAGAAAGGCAGGTATTGGTACCCAGCAAGACGTGGCAGGTGGGTGCTGCGTGTTAATCAGTGGATACAGAAATACTTTGCGAACGAGGTAAATACATTTATGGGTGGGGAAACGGAGGCATTTGGAACTGGATTTCACTCCCCAGGGTCCTCAGCAGGTCCGTTGGGAGGGAAAGCTGAGGTCACCCACCTTGTAGGACTTCGCCCGGGAACATACAGTGCGCTGCTGGAACGCGAACGGTGGGCAAGCTGGTGCTGGCAAAGTGTTGCTGGGCAGTGGTGGGAGAACCCTTCCTCCTGCTCTGGCTTCGTTGTGTCCCTAGTTTGGTGGGTGGGAGGAAGAAATAAGAGGACTTTCAAGTATTCAGTTACTCAAGGCCACCGCTTTACCGTCTGCCTGTTTTAATCCAAGCTCAAGGTGTGCAGCCACGTATCTGCCATATGTTGAAGAAACGATGACCAAAATCGCATTGTGGGGGTGTGCGTTGAGTGTTTTAGCCCATGAGCGGCACTAGGAGAGTGGCCCTGTTTTTGCTCAAGGGACTGGCAGGAACATTCCGCCTTAGTTTGGCGCTGAGATAGAATAGGCGCTGAAGCGGGTGAAGGAAGCTTGAGGCTCTATCACGCCCTTAAGCAAGGGGATATCAGAGGTGAAATTACACCCCGGGGAGTGTGTGCTCTGCTAAGCTTGAGCACCTTACTCAGTTAAGAAGTGAATCTTCCGAGTTCAGTATAGTCTCTGTAGAGAGCCCTGTCCAGAAGGTCTTCATCTAAAAGAGTCTCCGACTATGGCTTGTGTTTAAAGGAATCGTTTGTATTCGTTGACCAAAAAGGGAAACTGGTCTCCAGCTTTGAGTTAGGTGTGAATGAGGGTGAAGGCAGGCAAAGTGAGTGTACTTGGATCCCCTCTTTTTCTGAGGCCTGCAAGATACCAGTCAAGCACTCAGCGTCTGTCAGTATGCGAGAGTTTCCCATAGAAAATGTCACAAAATTAGCTGTGTGTTCCTCCTACTTAAAATCTGGGGAAATCGGCCTCTCTATAGGATGAAAGATTGTAAATTTCCCATCTCTGCTGTGAACTCCTTGGTGATGCACTGATATCTTACGAAAACAGGGTGCCTCCCATGCTGCGACAAGGCTTCTGGGTTTACAGGAGTTCAAAGCTGCCAATACTGTAAAAATAAATCCCGATGCTCCCCAAAAGAACGCTCGCTTTCTAACGCTGGAAGTAAGTGAAAGTGTTCTCTTCTCTCTTGATACCTTTCTTCACGCAGGGGTCTCGCCAGGCTTGCTGCTCTATTAAAGAGCTGGATGTGTTCGACAGAGCACGTGAGATTAAAGTGGATCCTGACAAACCTCTAGAAGGTGTTCGGCTAGCTGCACTGCAGGTAACAGGACCTTTGCACCCCTAAGGAGGAGAGCGGGACAGCAGTGCAGGGCTTGGCGGCATCTCATGGCCAACGCCTGCCATTTCTCCGGCGGGAGCTTTACGAGTCCTAAGCCTCATGAGGTTGCTCATGTAAGGATGTCCTTGCCTTTTTGGCAAATGGTGAAGGTGGAGGTAGGGTTTGGGGAAATTAGTATGTTTCTGCGGAGCAGTAGCTGTTTCGCTGTCATTGTATTCTTATTCCCCGAAACACGTAAGGTAGCCTTGCATCAGATTGCCTTACATTAATCACCAGGTGAATGTGTGTCAGACTTACCTCAGCCCTGTGCGTGGTCACTAGCTCATGTGTGTAGCTCATTTGTGGACGTGCACTTTAGACCGGTAGGTATATCTTGCCATCTATTTCTTAAATAAAATCTTGTCTGGAATTTTGCTGTACTGGAGGGAATTCATCTACAAGCACTACAAAATCAACAATGCGAACTACATCATCAAATAAGATGACTGACCACATGGAGACCCATGGGACAGTAAAAAATATTTCTTGAGTGTAGAATGAGCCCACCTCTTTTTAATGCGATGACTTCTTTTGTTACACAGGCAAGGAAGACTTTGTTGGTTCCGACACCACGTCTGAGAACTGGGCTGTTCAATAGGATTGTTCCACCTTCAGGTGCAACTAAGGAGATCCTGCGAATATGTGCTACGTCTCAAGTAGGCATGAAAACTGGGGGAGGTCTGAATTAACTTGTAGAAGAGTGCTGTGTTTTGATAGTCCAGCTGGAGGTTGGAAAACCAGATGCTGCCTGAAATACTGTTCTGCTAGTATGTTATTCCTTGTTTTGTGTACACATCCACCATGAATATTTTTTTTGTTGGCACTTAAATCATGAGGAAATTTAGTCTTTTCACTGTATTTTATTAGTAGAATGGTATCGATGTTTTGTGAATGCTTTTTGGAACATTATGAGCAGCTTTCATAGGTGAGTTAGATCTTTAGGTTTCTAATAAATAGTACTCCTATATTCTGCAGTTTTGAGCTAGTGAACCCTGTAAGGAATATTTTCATGTTTACAGTTTTTGCATAATCTGGTCAATGAAATACTGGGTTTTACTAAATAGGAAAGATCAGTTCTTTCAGAATCCTAAGTCTAAAGAAACATTAATTCCGTCATTTGCATCAACCGAGGTACAAAAATGTGTTAACAGTTTTCTTTTGAAATGTGGTATGTTGCTGCCCTCTGGTGTTAAAATACCATACTGTACGGCTGAAGTCGTTTGGCAGGGAAACCTGCGTTATTTTGTACGCATCTTTATTTGATATGAACGTGTAACTTGTACAAAACGAATAGGCCAGCTATATAGGTTTTATTTCGTCCTTTATCTCCTGCTAAAGGCAATAAAGTTCTACAGTAATCCTGTATACAACTGAGGGTTGTAAATGGATGGTAATTAGTAGCGACTTTCTTTGTTGGAACTTCTATTAAAGTCACTAACTAATTAAGCTTTTCAGGGTTGAAGAGCACTTTTGAGAGACCTTTCTCTTGACCGGCTTCAGGCCTCGTATCTGATCTGTGATCTTACCATCATGTGTCTGTTTTTTCCCCCAACCGGGCGTACTAATGAATAAATGCTATTAGCAGTTTATATTTACAAAGCACTGTGCAAACAATTCTTACCACACTGCTGTGAAGTGGATAATGAGCATTATTACTGATAGTCAGCTGCAAATTACTGATCTTTTTGTGCTCCACACAGGAAATATTTGGCTTTTTATTGTGAGGATTAACTTAGCATAAAGTTGAACTGGTATGAGGAGGGTTTACATTATGCTGTACACATGTATTAAGAGTGAATGAATCATAAGATATCTTTCTAAAAGTTTTAAACCTCTGATGTTTGAAAGCCCAGGTAAACACCATTTTTAATTTCTGCAGCTCTGTACAGAATTTTGTTAGGATATGTTCTTTAGAGAGGAGCCTGAAGAGGGGTGGCTGGGAATGAGGGGGGAGAGAGGGGAAGAAAAAAAGGATGACAGGGCTGTGTGACGTTTTTTTTTTTTCCACTTGTTAGGAACAGTGTGTTTTTTCTGGTCATTAGTGTCTTAGATAGAAAGTTACGGTAAAGATAGCTTAGCTTTGCAGTGGCACATCCTGAATGATGGTCATGCAGCAAAGTGTCAAGGAATATCGTCTCGGGGAACACGTAGGCAACTTTGGAAGGTGCTTTTAAAGATGTAGGGGTGGAGAAACTGGCAGTGCAGTGGGTGCCGTGTGAAATGGAGAGTGATCCAGCTTATGTACCTGGTTGTGCTTCAGTAAAGCATTTTGTGTGACTTCAGACAAGCAGCTTAACATCTTTATGCTGTAGCTGTCTGTGTCTAAATTAACTTTGTGAGAATTAATTTAAGGATTTGTAGTGCTCTGATATTCCTCATGGGCATGAATTTGCATATTATGACTTTAAGTTAGTAGTAGTAGGGTAGGAAGTGTCATTTGCCCTCATTTTTAGAAATGGATGTCCAATAAAGGGTTTCAAAATACGAGTTTTTGATCCCAAGTAAGTAACCTTGCTTAGAAAAGTGCCCACCTCCCTTAGCTCTCCTTGAAGTGTGCCAAAATTCTTGTCACTGTAGTAGGGAATGTATTCTAGGATTCCCTAGAGGATAACTTTCCAGACATGTACAGCTTGTCTATACATGGAAGAAACACTTTGAAATGTGGGGAGTTACTTGGATTTATCAAAATATTCTGGATTTCTGCCTCACTGGTTGGAAGACTGCACTCTGCCAACCGAAGATTATGTTTTTCTTGCAGGGTATAAAAGAATACAGTGTGCCTGTAGGCCTTGATGGGAAAGCACGAGTGGACTTGGTTGTTGTAGGATCAGTGGCCGTCTCTGAAAAAGGTAAGATAAAGCCTTGTAAGCTTTTCAGGAGGAGGGTCTTAAGTCACAATTCACAATGTCAGTAGGCTACACTACGTGTTCCTTTTGGCAGACCCGAACGTATCTTTGGAACTGTATTACGGTCTCGAGTTCTGTCTCTTCTGTGTGACAAGTCACTGATCCCAATCCAACCAGGAAGAATCGATGCCTGCTTTACAGCAGTGCCGCCAGGCCTGCGTGGGCAGGCAGCAGTGTGGTTTAGAGCGTGCAGGCCAGTGTTTTGGCCTTCAGTAGAACTATTCAGGCAAGCAAATTTTTTTTTTTTTCTTTTAAAAGAGTCAGAGGGCTCCCTGTTCGGAGGATCTGCTCTGCTCTCACAGGGTATGTGAAAGGACATGTGTTACAGCTGCTGATTTGGTACCTATTTGAGGATCAGATTTTACATTTTCTAGTATTTTGAAGACCTGCTGGTGATGAAAAATTTTCCACTGACTTTATCCATTGCCTAAAAATAACATGCTCTTTGTGTGCGACCCAGACTCCTCTTTACCCACATGAAGTTAACCTATGTTTGGCATGAATAGAGGGTTCTAATTACAATGAGTAAATAGGCTTCTATGTTAACTGAATTGGACTAAGTTTGGTTTATCCTGAGTAGGAGGCTCCTGGGATCCTTTAGGAGTTCATTGAAACTAATGTTTTATTTTAATTTCAGTGCTGATTACAAGGAAAGTTGCATTCTGTGAGAGATGCCGATTCCCGACTTACAACTCTGTGTTTGGTTTACCTGTTGCAGACTGCTTAGTTTAATTGCATGCTTTTGATAGTTACCAGCCTTTCCACTCTGCTGCTTCTGTGTTTACCGTCACTGTTTGCTTTTGTGTGTTCTAGGCTGGAGAATTGGAAAAGGGGAAGGTTATGCAGACATGGAATATGCAATGATGGTGTCAATGGGCGCAGTGCGGGCGGATACACCTGTAATTACTATTGTGCATGACTGCCAGGTAAGCTAAAATATCAGCTCTCAAGTGACGAGTCAGAACTGTGTGATACTGAATGGTATGTCTGAAGAAGAGACTTGGAATGATGTTGGTGTAGCGTCCTTACTTTGTTTCCACTGTCATTGACAGATTTTCATATGTTGTGAGACATCAGGAATGGCGTGCAATTTTAGTGAATTTGTTTTTAACTATTTACCAAATCTCTTGTTCCTCGTAGGTGGTTGACATAGCAGAAGAGCTTCTTGATGATCATGATTTAACTGTGGATTATATACTCACTCCAACAAGAACTATCAAGACTAATTGCAAACGACCGAAACCTCAGGGAATAATATGGCATAAGGCAAGTTACCTCTGCTACCGGTGGCTTACTGGTACTGCCATTCTGTTGATAAGTCCCCCATTTTTACATAGAAACACGTTTGTTGTATTAGAAATACTTGGAAAAGGAGCAAATGTGTTTGTCAGATGAAACAAAACAACAGCATGTGTGTTCAGCGTTTTTTAAGTGGTAATGGTGAGGAGGAGAAAGGTATTGTTGAAGCTGAGGTTGCTGTACGAAATGGATTATAGGGTGAGAGTCACTGGAAACATCGTGGATTTTTAAGATAGACGTGGTGTCTTGTAGTCGTTTGTGGTATAATAGTCTACGTAAGCTGAGGGGCTTCTCCACCTTATGTGTTTTATTCCTCAGTGCTCATTGCAATTGGCTCTGTTCGTTTTCTGGAGGCAGTACCACAGAGAGAACTTCATGGCATTAGGCCGTGTGGAATGGGTGGAATATGTGCTGCTCCGGTTGTGAAAGGAAAGCGTGACCTCGTGGCTGGTACGTTGCTGTCAACGTAGAGGATGTATGGGATGAACTTTCAAAGGATAGATGAATTTGTGGCTGGAGCTCATTTTCAGGTGGAGGAATAGTGACTTTATACTACTTTAAATCATGAATTGTTATTTATTGATAAATATGTTTTATGGGTTTGGCCTCCCTGCCCAAGATTGTCAGAAACTTCAGCAGTTTCACAAGTGGTTTTGGAAAAGCGTTTAGTGAATTGTTTTACTGGAAGTTCATGCTGGGAAAACTCCTTCTTTGTCATTAGATTTTCATTCCTAAAACCATTCAGTTAGGGAGCAGACGCAATCCCGCATGGTTGAGTAACAGTAGGAACACTGAAATGAGGAATAGTGTACCCATGTCTTGCAGAAACCACTGAGGAATTATTAGTGAATACTTCTAGGGAAATCAAGAGTTGTTTGTTAAGCACTTGCCAACCAACAAAAAGAGTTAAATTTGTTAAGGTAATGTATCTACAACAAACAATTCTAGCCAGTACTATTTTTATTCCTTTGGTGGGAGAGTATTTTACCCTGCCTGTGGTTGAGGATTTGAGGTTATAAATAAATAAATAAAAGCTCTGTCTGTACTAGTGCATTTTTTCCACTGAATTATTTTTGAATCGTAATTTTTTTTAGGGTATTATTGACTGTAATTGTTTTGAAGGCCTACCCCTTGTGCTCCATCCATCTTGCCAACATACTTTTGATCACAGTCTGTCTGTTTTAGTGTCAGACTTCAATCTCAGTAAGTGGCCTTGCTAA